AATAATACAAATGTAAACAGATATACAATGCAGGAAATCACAGATACAATGGTGCTTTTATGTATTAAGTTCCTGTTTAATGCCTGTGTCTGCAAGAGAATTGACACTCATTTTCAGGCGGTGTTTTAAATGCAAATTGCATATGAACCTGAAAGATTCCGGGAATAAAATAGAAAAAGAAAAAAAAATTCTAAAATGTTCATTTTTGCCCTCTGTATAGTAATGTATTTTAGTAGTACTATCTAAGCTAATTTTGTATGCATCATTTTGTGGTTCACTGATAACCAGACTTTAAAAAACCCAGTTAAAAAAACAGTTTCCAGCAACTGAGTGGCAGAGGCAGGTGTCATCCCTCAGAACTTTCTTTGTTTCCAAATAATTTTAAATCATTCTCATGAATTAAAACGTTAATTATTTGTGCTTCTGAAACATCTTGGGTAGCTTCACCGATAGATATTTCAATATTTCTTGGGATTTAAATAGGATATTTCCATCATCTTAGAGTTTACACCTATTGCGTGGTCTACCGTAACACAGATTAAATACTCATCCACTTTTCCATCCTGCTCAGAAACGAAAGCACAGTCTGTTCAATACATGACAGTTTAATATCTGCTAATCACTTCACCCAATGTGAAGTGTAAGTTTCCTTCATTACACGGTCACAAAAAAGTATTTTGCTGTTAATAGGGAAAACTGAGCAGAACTTTCAGTTCGTCGTCTTCCCTCTAAAATTAGCATATCATGTATTTAGATGTAGCTAACAGAGACACTGAAAAGAACTAAAAATAACACATTACTTTTTTTTTTTACTGTTTTCGTGACAGAAGGTATACATACCCTCTGCTTCAGATGAATAAACTTCAGTGCTTGACACTGCATTTACATATTTTTCACTATGCATCATATTTAGAAGTTCAGTACTGTCATCTAATCTATGCTGATTGGCTCCTTTGATCAACTCCATCACTTGTCTATAGCAAAGCACTAGATTACATGGAAGCCGGATATCCATGGTTGCAAACTGTGAGTTAAAAGGAGAGAATGGCAAGGTTGCACTTACGAGCTCTTAGAATCCATATCATTTTATGGCAGTGCATTATTCAGGAAAGAAAGGAAAAGAATCATACAAATTCTCTTTTCCATCATTCTTTCATACCTTCCATCTTTTTTTCTTTTTGGCTACTGTGGGGAGGAGAGGAAGAGGGTGAAGGGGATAGAGGAGAGAATGGAAAGGAAAAAGGCAAAATTCAGGAGTGGCTTTCTGTAATGAATAAGAATTAAAAAAAAAAAAAGGGAAATCTGGCACATGCTCCATGTAAATCTTGTTTGAGGGAGTGTAAGGAATGACTTCCTCCAGAAAAACTGATTCTAAAAGCTTAAACACCTCTCGTAATCTTGCAGGAATTCTCAGAGAAATCATCTCATCCAAACAGAGTAAGACCAAGGAAAGTAATCAGATACGGTACAGTGACACAAGGCATCTGAACTGCTTGTTCTAGTCCCAGACTAGACCTCCTCTCAGAGCCCCTGGATATACTATCTACTGCATAAATGGCAGATGACATTGGCACAGTCCTCTAAGTGCTCCACTAAAAAAGCGAAACAAACCACAATTCAGCTCTGAATACTTCTCTTGCCCCTTCTGCAGGCATGACTTGGAAGACTCACGTAAGGTAAGTTATGAGGGCAGTTACACAGTTCATCTCAGGCCAGTACGTTCTTAAGAGAAGAAACACTACTTCAGTTGTAAATTTATGAATGCACAAACACGGACTCTGCTAGGTCTCAAGTTGACAAAGGCAGCATTAATCATTACCTAGACTTCAGCACACGGGAGTAGTCACATGAAAGTCAATCCCCATTCATAAATCTTCATTGTAAGAACATTTAATACACTCTCAGATGATTTTTTTTTCCCATATGTAAATCTAATATGCTTATTTTTCATATATGGTAAATCTGGCACAGAAATCCATGAAGGTTCCTATAGATCTCTAATCATACTGTAATATCCTTACAGAGGCTGTCAGTAATGACAAAGAACACATCTACATTTTTTAAGGTGAAACAATGCCTAATAATAATAATAATAATAATAATAATAATAATAATGTAAGGATGTTTCTAAGTCTGCCTGCATATACTGTCTGAATGCTGAGATCAAGCCATTTATAATTATGTTGATGCAGTGAAACATTAGACATTTGCATCCAAATTTGAACCATGACAGCTTTTACTGCTCTATAACTAAATAAATAGTTTGTTCAATTTCCTTTTATCCTTCCATAAAGAATTACTTGTGGCTTGAAAAGAAATGTAATTTTTTTTTTAGGGCAAGAAAAGTTCTACTGCTGGAAGTATTCAGGCATGGATTTTAAGAAAACTGCAATGTCCAGTTGCTGATCAGGATTGATACGATCACACTAATATTGCTATAAAAATAACTTTAAGAAGTCTTATTAATATAACATAGATATGGTTATACATCACCATCACTGCTCATCTAAAATAAATAAAAAAAAAAGCCAACTCAAAACCAAAATCACACCCAAACCATCAAAATTCCAAGATACTGTGAATTTTTCACTTTGTGTGAGAGCACCTGGTGCTCTACTATAGGCAGGAGGATTTCCACCACAGAAGTGAAACAGAGTAATTATGTAGTTCTGTTGGATGCACCTTGTTTTTTCCCCAATGGACCTTAAATCTCCACAGACCATACTTTCTGGTAGGCTGTGGCCTTTAACTCTGGTGGTAGATCTCTACATCTGTGGAGAACCCTTTGAAGGCCATATTCCCTGGGCTCAGCAAATGTGTAAAGCTCTCTAAGTCATTGCATGAGTGCTTTATTTACCAATAACTGCTCATGAACCGATACTAAATAACACGAATTGATGGTGCTTTCCAACAGTGCCTGTAGTACAGAGAATATCAATTTGGTCTTGGAAACAAGTCTCTAACTAAAATATGTATCTTAAGCTTCCTGGTTTAGGCAGCCCAATGAACGGGGCAATGAAAAACAGAAAAGATAAGGACTTTTATCTATATTCCTACTTCTTTTTTTTTTTTTTTACAGTTGGCTGTGAGTTTGTAATTGTTTTGTACTGATCATCTTGCACTAGGAGTATCACATTCACAATTCCCTGTACCAGTCTTTCATCTGTGTGTACAGTGTAAAGAAAACATCAAATTGTATCTCACTTTAAAATCAACATCAAAGCAGCTATAAATGAAACAATAATAATAGTGAGGTTTAAATAATGAATTAAAAAGAAATACATGTAACTTTAGCACTGCTTCTATTACAAAACTCTCTTGCACTCTATCCTGAGCGCTTTAAAACATTCTGCTACTGTAAATGATATGCTGCTGCTAATACTAAAATCTCTGTTTTAATTCAAAGATTAGGTCAGTTTAAAACATTTTGAGCCTTGTTTTCCAGTAATAGGCCTTCAAAGCTCTTTCAAAGGTTGTGCAGATTTCTCCCTTGACTTGTTACTACCTGTCCCCACAAAAACTCGAGCAAGTGGGATGGTTTCAACAGTCAAATTTTACACAATATCACTTATGAACTTCTTCCAGTAGTGGAAGTTTTCCAGTAATTCAGTGTTGTTATACTGAAGAAGGGGCAACCAGAAATAGTAGTGACTTTCTAAATACCTTTTATGCACAAGTATCTTTACCCACATCATGGATAAAAGCACATTACAATTCTAAATAAACCAAGATCATGACCTCTCTCCTAAAGAATGTAGAAACATGTAATGTTTCCCAAGGACATCCTCAGTCTAAAATGTTTCCACCTACCTTCCATTTCACTGCTACAGACCACAGGCTAAAGATAGATTTAAGTCCTTTGCTTATAAAAGTTCAAACTTCTTTACTCTACAGGCCATGTACCAGAATATTTTTGAGGCAAAGCATGTGATACGATCACTTGCTTCACTTTTAGAGGGAGGGAACCAGCAGCGGATGACAACAAACAGCTCCCCATGCCACCAGCTTTGCTGCAGGACCTGCTGGGGTGGATATGTGCCTGGACTGCAGAGACCAGGGTCAGCTGCTACTGCTGGTTCACTTGGTTTATGGCTTGGATTACACCACTCCACAACACATGTTCTGATGAGCATGAGATGTCTCAGGTCCTGTATGAAGCCTACACTTTGTTCAGAAACTACACATTGGCAAACCTTGTGACAGCTGAGCACAGGTTATTCATTATTAGACAGAAGTACCCTGGATCAGACTGGCAAGAGCAGTTCTAGAAAAAAGCCCCTGAACTCCCTTTGGACTATGGTCTATGTTGCTCCACAGTATCAAGGACTCAACTGTCACATCCATCGCTCCACTCAGCAGTCCTACAAAAGAAGAACAGCCCATGCATAGGCGAAAGTTTTCTTGATTGCTCCAATAATCAATGAGAACTTCGTTCACAACAGAGATCACATTCTCTTAGAAAAATACAGATTTCTAGACCAAAAAATATCAGTTTACTACAAGTGACGAAAATTATGACATGAAAGAAATACGATACCTGTTTGTTGTTTTCATTGGTACAATGCAGCCTTTTGAGGGACACAAAGTGTCTTATTTTCCTAGCAACAGAAATAATCACTTGTTATCATGTCAAATGGTAAAGGGAGAAGTGAAGTGACACACTGCAGTTTTCTAAAGCAGTGGTCTCCACGCCCTCGTGAAACAAGATACCCAACCCCACACCAAACAGATGGCTGGGCAACAAGCAGTCCTTCAGCGTTACAGCTCTGTTTTTGTCCCAGGACACCAGATCCTTCTGCTCCTGCAGGAATTCACCTGCACAGCTGGGAGCAGAATTTGGCAACGTGCCCATTCCACGCTGCAAAGGGTGTGAGCGCGTATCAAGCACATGCACAAACAAGGGGATCGCCCAGCTGCTCATCCTTCCAGCTGACCGGAAAATGCTTTGGTTACTGTATAGTAACTTTGTAAGGAAATGCACGGTGACATGAAGCTAAATGTCATCTTGCAGGTGTCTATAGCAGTAACACTATTAATTGCTATGACTTCACACTTCTTTTAGCCAGCATTTGATGACACTGGTGGACAAATGTCAGCAAAGAACATGACTTTCTAAACTTTGCTTATTCTTTCCACATTACTTGAAGTCATTATATCCTCCAGCTACTGACTACATGGAGGTTCATGTCAAACTTACAGATGGGGAAAGCAGAGAGGAGGCCCTAAAAATCAGAAAGCAATTATGTTCTGGACAAGTTAGTTACCCTCCTTGTCCAATCACAGGTGTTATCTTCACATGCTGCTGGATACTGTCTCCTGATTTTCTTCTTGCATAATAAACTCCTTGCCATTCCTAAGCAAACACACACAACAGAGACAGCATCTAAGAATACATAGCTTATGGTCAAATATTCATTTATTATTACATAGTCCTTATGTAGTAAATAATTGCATATCATTTCATGGATGCATTTTTAAAAAGAGTGTAAAATTTACTAATACAGAGTAGCACCTTTAACAGGCATTTGCTAACAAAAGGACTGCAGAAATATGTTTTCTTGTGAGACAGTATACAATTTTTACAAACGACTTTAGGAATAAGCTACTTTGAGGGGTTATGAACACTCTTGCTAGGTACCACCATAAGCAGTGGTGGTTGCAACACATCCAGAGAGTATCTCCCTTGCGAGCAGCAGAACCAAACTCTGTGCTGAGCACCATTCAGCTTTGAAGTCATCAGTCATCAAGTGATATGTATGTTAAATTTTGGAAGCCCTTGACCTAAGCGTGTCCTTCAACTAACCTCAGGTAACCAATAGCCTATTTTCACGCCATGACTGTTTTCCCATGATCATGGATATCCAAGGCACTCTAGATCACCAAAAGGAAGAAACAATTTTTTTCATGGCATCTTTTATCCTGTTCTCCCATGCAAACCTCTATTTCCCTGACTGGCCACTAATCTTCCCTCCATCCCCACTGCTACAAGAAAGCAGCAAGAGGACTGCAGGCTAACCAGGAGCCATATATGCCCCATCCTTAAGCAGCCCACTGATGCAGAGATAAAAGATATCCTCCAGTATGGATTGGAGAAGAAAAGGACATAAAGCAGGTGGCTTCTCTCTCCTTACCACCTCAAAGAAGAGAGATTTTAAGCAGGGAACTACTTGGCAGCAGAGTAAGATGAAGTTGGCAAATGCGTGGAAGGTACCTTCTCCATCACAGACAAAGATGGATGGATGCAAAAGACACACAGGGCCTTTGAGCAGGCAGTGCCAGCAGCTGGGCAGCCTATATGAACGAGGAGTTGCAAAGCAAGAGTGACCTGTAGGTTCTGCTAATGAACGAAGATGAACCTGCAAACAACTCCAGACAGTGACCCTCAAAGCTCAGATCATTGCTGGAATTAAATCAAAGGTTCAAGAACTCCTCAAAGTTCATGAAGCAGAGGGTGAGACAGAGAAGGGTGGGAGGTACTTCTGCAACCCATGGGAGATCTTGCATGTATTAGGAGAACATATGGACAGGAATATGTAGGGCTTTTGTGGCCCATCACCACCACAGCAGGAGTTCACAGTGCACTGCAGATATTCTAACTACAGTTAGAAAAACAAACCCCACTGGGTGCTGGTTTTGGTCACAACTGATTATGCCACATGCTGCTTAATGCACGCAGCCGATGAAGGCTCTGCAGTTACATCAGAACTGTTAAACCTTTTGGTCGGATGATGCAGCCACCTGAGAGACTGACCGAGGGCCAAATTGTTATGTTTCAACTAACAAAAGCTCCTGGAGCTTTAAGCAAAACAGAAACACAGAAAACATTCTTATATTGATCTTAAGCCAACAGATTGGTAGAAGAGTTCAATCAGATCCTAAAAGCAAAGCTGAAGAAATCTGTAGTTGCTTGTCTGAGGCATGAGTGCTCCTAAGACACCTGAGAAGCAGAATTCTGGTCTCATATGTTCACTCATGAAAACCACATCTTGTGTTCTTGAGCCTAGAGCATCAAAAATATAGCAGAACAGAAATCTAAAGCAGTTTTGCATGACTTTATTTTATTTGCTTACCTTTCCTTTTTTAATAAATGTGTTGATAGAGTCTAAAATATCTGCACAGTTTTTATCGCTTTTTGGTAGCTCAGTAAGTTCCTTGCCAATAAGCTCTCCCTTGCGATACCCCATCATCCGTTCAAAGGCTGGATTAACATACTGCCAAAACAAAAGTGCTTTGGTATAATATGAAAAAACCCCCACCATACTTAAAGGATAATTACTCACATATAACTATCAAAATGTTTAAAGTTATACATCTGAAGCCATAACCACACATCCCTACAATGCAGTATTTTTCATATAAAAATACTATATAATAGTGAAACGTGTTATTCAACTAAGGAGCTGAACACAAAAGGTGATATATAAGATGTTATCTAAAGGTTCAGAAAGAGAACAGAACTCTTTACCGTACAGGTTATCTAGTTCTGCTTCAGATTTCATGCTGGTTTTATCACAAACAACATTACTTTACTGAAAATTATAATCTAAATAAAGTCACCAAAGGAAAAGTCTTTAAAAATTAGCGGGTGCTAACATGCAGCATACACAAATAAGGCAGTTCGTTGCACAGGGCTTTCTAATGGGCAACAAAACTAAAATACTGAAGCAGGACAGAAACTACTGAGCAAAGTCCTCTTGGGGTTCCTCTCTCCAACTTCTACAAAATAGTTAACTTTTTCCCCCCTACCTGAATGACATGATCTTCACTGGTTATTTCTATAGCTTCCTGACAATGGTCTAATGCTGTAAACACTGCATTACAAGCCCTGAAATTAGCAAATGATTCACATTAGATTTGTTGTTAGAACAGTTTGCCCACTATAAATACATTATCATACTGTACTTATCGCTAGATGAACCACAAAGTAGCATGTTGACCAAACCATGCCACTATCATGATTACCATTTTTTTTCAGGAAATTCAGCTTCCAACATCTCTGTTGTTAATATGTCTTTACTGCAGATCATGTTGTAATACTGCTCATGGGTACTTAATGCATATTTCTTTCTCCAAACATGTTCTAAACAGCAAGAACTAATAATTAGCACTAAAAATAACAAATGGCTGTTACAACAGAATAGAAAGTTTTGTGATCATTAAATGTAAGGAACACAAAAATCATCACAGCAGATACATACAAAGTTTTCAATACAGCAAATAGATTGGCACTACCAGAGAAGCCGTAATACAACATGATTAGAGGAAACAGTTTAAGTCATCTCAAAGTCCTAGTCAGAAAAATGTCAATTTTCCTGCTTCCAAGTAGTAATTCAGTGACTTGATTTGCATATATCCTGATCTCTATTAAGGGCCAAAATGATCTTCATTTCCCATTTTTTTCAGGGCTATCCTTGAACTAATGCAGGAAAACAAAAGACTTACCATCTTTCTATAAAATTTAAATTACTTAAATTATAATTTACACAAGATGGGATTAACATTTATTTATAGGCTCCTAATACTAGTGAGAAAAAAAAGTAAATATATGTATTTATGTAAAGAGAGAGTGCACACTGAAAGAAACCACCCAGGTATACTGAGAATCATAGAATGGTTTGGGTTGAAAGGGCCCTCAAAGATCATCTATTCCCACCCCCTCTGCCAAGGGCAGGGACACCTTCCACTATACCAGGTTGCTCAACGCCTCATCCAACCTGGCCTTGAACACTTCCAGGGATGGGGCATTCACAACTTCTCTGGACAACCTGTTCCAGTGCCTCACCACCCTCATTGTAAAAAACTTCTTCCTTATCTCTAATCTAAATCTGCCCTCTTTCAGTTTAAAGCCATTACCCCTTGTCCTATCACAACACGCTCTTGTAAAAAGTCCCTCTCCAGCTTTCTTGTAGACCCTCTTTAGGTACTGGAAGGCTGCTATAAGATCACCCTGGAGCCTTCTCTTCTCATGGCTGAACAACCCCAACTCTCTCAGCTTGTCTTCATAGCAGAGGTGCTCAAGCCCTCGGATCGTCTATCTGGCCCTCCTCTGGACCTGCTCCAACAGCTCCATGTCCTTATGTTTGGGACCCCAGAGCTGGATGCAGTATTCCATGAGAGTAGAGTAGAGACAGAGAGTCACCTCCCTCGACCTGCTGGCCATGCTTCTTTTAATGCAGCCCAGGATACTGTTGGCTTTCTGGGCTGCCAGCGCACATTGCCAGCTCATGTTGAGCTTCTTATCAACCAACACCCCCAAGTCCTTCTCCTCAGGGCTGCTTTCAATCCATTCTCCGCCCAGCCTGTATTTGTGCTTGGGATTGCCCTGATCCATGTGCAGGACCTTACACTTGGCCTTGTTGAACTTCATGAGGTTCTCACAGGCCCACCTCTCCAGCCTGTCAAGATCCCCCTGGATGGTATTCTTTCCCTCCAGCATGTCAACCACACCACACAACTTGGTGTCATCTGCAAACTTGCTGAGAGTGCACTCGATCCCTCTGTCCATGTTGCCGACAAAGATGTTAAACAACACCGGTCCCAATATCAGCCCCTGAGGAATTGCACTTGCCACTGGCCTCCACTTGACTCTTTGAGTGTGACCATCCAGTCAACTCCTTATTCACTGAGTGGTCTATCCATCATATCCATGTCTCCAATTTAGAGACAAGGATGTCGTGCAGGACAGTGTCAAATGCTTTGGATAAGTCCAGGTAGATGATGTCAGCTACTCTTCCCTTATCCACCAACGCTGTAAGCCCATCATAGAAGGCCATCAAATTTGTCAGGCAGGATTTGCCCTTTGTGAAGCCATGTTGGCTGTCACCAATCACCTCCTTATTTTTCATGTGCCTTAGCATAGTTTCCAGGAGCATCTGTTCCATGATCTTGTTGGGCACAAAATTGAAACTGACTGGCCTGTAGTTCTCCTGATCTCCTTTTTTACTTTTTTAAAAATGGAGGTTATACCTCCCCTTTTCCAGCTGTTGAGAAATTCACCAGACTTCCACGACTTCTCAAATATGATGGATAATGGTTTAGGAACTTCATCTGCCAGTTCTCTCAGGACCAGTAGATGCATATCATCAGGTCCTATGGACTTGAACACCTCCAAGCTCCTTAGATGGTCTCAAACCAGATAGATGCTTCGACAGGTGTCAGTACTTCACCTTAGATTTGGACTAAATTCAAGCTAATTATCTTCTAATACCTCTCATTGCAGTGAGCATAAACTGCATAAACATTCTTGTATACAGTTATTTATTGCTCCCAAGAACGCATAGTGGGGTTTGAATTAATAGTTATGACCAGAGAATTAAGAAATACAGGACATTTCTAGTTCTGCTCATCATGGAAGTAACTCAAAACCAAATAGGATATACAAAGAAATATACATGCAGCCATGCGGATGGAGATTTGCAGAAAGAAGCGTTACATACAGAAGGCAACAGCAGTATTTCAGCTCATACAATAAACGGAGCTCCCAATGTAATTTTACAAGTGATTTTCTAGCAGTCCAAGCTGGCTTCAAAGTGTGATTTTGTGCTGTGTGAAACAACTAATTTATCGCAGTGATAGGTGCCCGTCTGGTACACCAGCTACTAACAAATGTCATCATGTAAACTTTCTGCAAGAAAACACAGAGCTATGTTTACACTGTTCAAACCTTACTATTTTCATTTTATCTGGCAACCAAGCTAGCAAAATTACAAGTTTAAATGGCTCATGTCCTCTTTGATTAATACACATCTCCCACAGATGTCCAACCAAGCTTCAAACCAGAAGCCACACGGAGAAGCGGTGTTCTCACTTGCAATGGAAAGACACTTCTGACCGCTGACATGACCAAGTATACTGCTTTCCTGGCCTGGTCCTACTTTTTCACCATGTTTCTCTTGTATTTGAACACCTGAAATATCCTGGTTTTAATTTCATCGACTAACTTTCTGAAAATATTCTTTTCCCTTTTGCTTTTACAAAGCTGTATAGAAGACTGACTGAGACAGCAAACATATCAGAGACCCAGTGCTATAGACACACAGTGCAACACTTTTTTCCCCACTTAATTAAACCACATGGATGGAAAAAACAAATTATAACCAAACAGCATTACCAAACACCAGTTCTGCTTAGTTTTTAATGGCAAATTCATTTAGAATCATAGAATCATAGAATGGTTAGGGCTGGAAGGGACCTTCAAAGGTCATCTAGTCCAACCCCCCTGCAAGGAACAGGGATATCTACAACTAGATCAGGTTGCTCAGGGCCTCATCCAACCTGGCCTTGAATGTCTCCAGGGATGGAGCATCCACCACCCCTCTGGGCAACCTGTTCCAGTGTTCTACAACTCTCATGGTAAAAAACTTTTTCCTAATATCCAACCTGAATCTACCTCCCTGCATAATGAATCTACCTAGAACACCTGCATAATCAAGCAGAGGTAGGGGGAAATCCTTTTTTTGTAAGATATCAGATTCTCTAAGTTACAAATACGCATTTTCAGAAAGTTTATCTTTTAAAAGGCTACCTCATGCCACAGATGTTAGTACAAATATTGCTTATAAGCGTTACTTGTGCTTGTAATATAACGAAGAGGATTTAACTGTTTAACTATCTTGGGCCCACATCTATTTAATTCTTTAAACTATTAAAATATTCTGGGACTGCACCTGGCAGTGACAGTAGTAAACCCAAAAATACCACTGAGATTTTTCATGGTATTTTGCAATGCTGCCAAAGGTTCCCAAACCAGTCATGTTCAGAGGTGATGTGAATATATATATACGCACATAAGTATATATAATGTGTATTGTCAGTATACAAAAGACATGATAACACAGAATACATTTTATATAATGTTGTTTTTTATATAAATTCAAAGCAATTAGGCTCAACAGTTTATGTAATTACATTTAAGAGAGCAAAAGCTAGCAGAATTATAAATGTGTGGTATACTGCTGTTTCCATAAACAATGTGGATGAAAGAACTGTCAGTAGATGAAATGCTGCTAGGGACTGAGACGGTTTCCTTCCAATTTTAACAAATGTTAAGATTTTTATCTTTAGTGATCACTGTGGTAGTTGTCATTTTCTAACTCAATTGGAATCCATTACTTAGCACTAGTAGTAAGACTTGGCTGAAGCCTTAGTTCAGGAGCTGTGAACTTTGTCCTAAATGGGCTTTTGGCTGGGACAGTGTTAATTTTCTTCTTAGTAGTTGGTATGGTGCTGTATTTTGGATGTAGTATGAGAATAGTGTTGATAATACACTTATGTTTGGCTGTTGCTAAGCAGTGTTTATCCTAAGTCTGGGACTTATTCAGTTTCCCGTGTTCTACTACTGAGCAGGAAGAAATGCATACCAGAAAATAAGGAGGCTACAGTTGTCAGCAAGTGCTGCAACTCAGCAAGATAAGAACCGTTGACGGCCTGCCTGCTGACAGAGAAAGAATCCAATAAGTAAGACCCCAGACCAGAAATCACCATTGGACCAAAAGGGCACGTGAAGAATGCGTGGAGGGGGTGCATAGCTTGTGAGGGTATAACTGTCCAGGGATTTCTTTGTCTGGGGTCCCTCTCTGCAGGCACTCAGCTCGAGCTGTTTTTCTGGCTGTACCAACTGAATAAATTATTTTTTTCAAGATTCAATGCCTGAGACTCTGCTGCAGGAAACCTGGAGTTGAGCTTGAAGGAAGAGAAAGTGCCTGAGAGTGAATGCGTGCATGTGTGTGTGTGTGTGTGTGTGTGAGCGAGGAGTCGAAAGGGGCACCTGTCTGATAACTGCAGTCACCGCTGCAAAGGGACTTCGGTCCCAGCAGTGAAGGTCTCAGGTTCTGTGAGTGTGGCTCCTGGAATGGTGTCTGAATGCCTGGGCAGCGGCCTCTCCTTTAACAATCACTATAAATAAACTTGCAGAAAAGTAGGGGAGCCAATATGAATCATGTTCCCTGTGTTGGAGTTTTAATTATCTGCATTCGTAATTGATACTACTGATGTAGAAATGCTAAATCGTATTTGCATCTTGTTTTTGAAATGAAACATAAACTGCAAATATTGTGTGTAAGAAAAAAAGCTTAATCTTTCTATGTAAGTCTGAAATTTCTGATCTATAGTGACTTAATTCAGAAGTCACTCATTCCATGTTGCATTTACAACTGAACAACAAACCACCATAGGACCACAGTAACACCTAATTTACTTCTAAAATTTCACAGCTGCTTTATTTTTCTGCTGATTTTTGGAAAACAGCTATTAAAAATTGTGTGAGCCCAAATTCTACTTTTTTTCCATGAAAATTTTACTATAAATGTGTTGTGCACGCACAAATGTGTAGTCATTTGAATGTGAAGTCACTTGGGGTTTGGTTTGCAAAGAAAATCTTAGAAAAATCTACTTCTCAAACAGAGACACTGAAGCCTGTAGAGAAATGACAGTATCTTCTGTAGGTGGAACTGGAATTAATTTATGACACCCAGGGAACTACGCCTTCTCTGCATGACACTCAACTTCAAGGGCTTTTTTTCCCCCTACAGTTGAATTACAAACATATTCATATGCATGTATAAGCACCAGTATTACACATAAAATTAGTCACATTAATGAAAAAGTGATAAGGGAAGGAAAGTAGTTTAATTTCTCACTAAGATAAAAAGCTATGCTCCTGATCTTTCAAGTCTTGCTCAAGAAAGAAAATAAAAACTCAAGGTATGAAGAGAGGACCAAGATTGCATTCAGCTCAAGCTATCAGGTATGAAATCTCACACACATGAGATCAAGAATGAGTTAGTGAAGCTTTACCATCATATAAATTTGCAGCCTGTAAGCCTTACACACAAGACAGCTTTTTTAAGATTCTACCCTTGCAATTAAATGAGCCAAAGTCATTGTTCTGTAATGTTTCTGCTGAAAGAGCTTGCCTTGACTGTAATGCTGGTAGTAATGGCTGCTAGAATGTTGTCAAATTCAATATGGGCACCTCAAGACAAATGAGACACAAGCAAGCATCAGAATAAAGGACATGTACTGCATAGTGCATTAGGAAAGCAGACATTTAAACCACCAGTGAACGAAACATACACAGACCAAGCTTTCTCAGAGTACCAGTTACTGAGAACTTAAATTTGTCCTATACAGAGTAGCAGAAGAAGGAAATAAGAGTATAATATATTAGTTAACATACAGACACAAAGCACATATATGTGTATCTGGGAAGAAGCAGAAAGTAACCTGATACAATTATGTAGACCAAGCAGTTGATGTTTGCAGTTTCTTACACTTCTACATACCGTAATTTGAACTGAGATCGCACTTCCCCATGTTCTATTTGAATCAGTTCATTGTAACAAGCAGTTATGCTGCTATTCTCCACGAATTGCTGGAAGACAAATCAAGAGTGCATGAAATAGATTGGAATGGTTTTAAACTGTTATTTCTGTTCCTGTATCTAAAACTCTAACCTTACAGAGACAGCTGACACAAGTCCAGCAAAGGGCCGTGAAGGTGATTAAGCATCTCTCCTGTGAGAGCTGCTACTGCTCAGCCTGGAGAAGAGAAGGCTCAAGGGAGGATCTCATCAAGGTATATAAACTTTTGAGGGAAGAGAGTAAGAAGACTGAGCCAGACTCTTTCCAGTGGTACCCAGTGACAGGACTGGAGGCAATGTGCACAAACAGAAACAGAGAAGGTTCCATCTGAAAATGAGGGAACGCTTTTTTTTTTTCTGCAAGGGTAACAACACTGGCACAGGTTGCCCAGGGAGGCTGCAGAGTCTCCATCCTTGGAGATCTTCAAAAGTTGTGTGGGCATGGTCTTGGGCAACCTGCTTTTGGTGGCCCTGTTTGAGCAGGGAGGTTGGGCAAAATGACCTCCAGAGCTCCCTTCATACCTCAACCATACTATGATTCTGCAGAAAGAAAAAGCTTTAGTTGTACCTTTTATGTTCAGTAATCACTTTTTCCCCTGGCATGATTTTCTAGTTCCTAAGACAACATCACTATCTAAATACAAAGCAAGTATAAAAATATGCAAAAACCTGAACTACGAATTTTTCCATTTGGTTTAACTACCCAGTTAGAAACAGATAATCTAATTAAAACCCAAACAAAGACACACACAAAACCGTTATTGCCTTGATGTTTCACTTAGAACATCTATCCTTAAGTCAGAATGGAAATGGAATACCTTAGAGACATAAAACATTCACTCTAAAAAATATAGATATATATGACATTTGATTTGTTTTCAAGCAACTGTTGCAGCTGAAGCTCAGAATGTGAAGTAACTTTGCTCCACAAGTAATCTCACTGAGACGTTACTGTGAATTCAGAGCCGAAAAAACTATATAAAGTAAGGAGCACATTGACAACAGTTAAATGGAATACCTTAGAGACATAAAACATTCACTCTAAAAAATATAGATATATATGACATTTGATTTGTTTTCAAGCAACTGTTGCAGCTGAAGCTCAGAATGTGAAGTAACTTTGCTCCACAAGTAATCTCACTGAGACGTTACTGTGAATTCAGAGCCGAAAAAACTATATAAAGTAAGGAGCACATTGACAACAGTTTATTTAGCAAACTTTTATATACTCCAGACGTGAGACAATGTCCTCTCTTCATTAGGCAAAGGTAGTGAGCTGAAAGGTCTTGTTTTCTGAAATCAGAAACTTTATGTTGACAGAAGAGGAGTAGATTGACTTCAGATAAAGTTTACTGCTCATAAGTAAACTTCTGCTATGAAGAGCTAAATCACTCTTTAGAAGTACATGCACCAACTCTAGTTTTCACAGAAAATACCCCATGTTGTCACTAGTTCTCATAGCGCAGCTGCATGCAGAGTCAAGAGGCACCACTCAAAACTCTGAGGAGCAAAGAATGGCTTTTAAGAAATTAATGCAGCTGTTCTGTATGAAAAATTTTGTTTTGAGGACCAATGGTTTAATCCCAAGTTGCCAGCAAAATGTAAAAAAGGAAAATTAAAAATGACTGTTGACATTGGTCTGCTTTACTCCTTAACATTAAGATCTTAAAACATTTCTGAAACTCTCACCTCATGCACTCAGTGAATGCACGGGAAACCAAAAGGCACAACATCAAGTTGGCAGAAGCAAAGGCGCAAATAATGTTGTGTTGCAAGAAAGCTTGTCTTCTACAGCGCTGTAGGTTTAGATTTTCAGTTTTACGGTGCTCTTTGAATATTCAGATATTTTCATGCGAAGTTTAAAACCATGTAAAACCAAATCTATCAATAATATACTATTTAACAATGATGGCAACTGATTTTACAAACTGAGCTTACTGGAACAGTACTGAAGCTCTTTATAAACTGAATTTTAAAGTAGTGCTGTTTCCTGACAAAAATTAACCCCTATCTCAGCACAAATCTTTGGCTAAGAACTAAGAATTGCAGCTTGTTGAAGTGTTAAACCTGCTCTTAACTATTGTATAGTCTTCTGCAGATGCACAGAATCTCTTTATTTAAGTTTATGGTACTAACGCCATTCGTTCACTGGCTCACTCAAAGCTGAGAAAACAATTGGGACCTGAAGAAGGTAGGAAACATTTCCTTTTTCTAGTCTGTGCATCTAAATGAGGCATAAGAAGATGAAGATCTATTAATTCTCAAACATTAGAAGGTAGACAATAATACTTTCTTTTAAAAAAAGTTTAGTATTTATACAGCACATTTTGATTTAACTAACATATACTCTTAAATTACATTTTACTTCATTACAATTGGATTCCATTGCCGTCTTGTACAGAAATTGACACAAGTCACAATAGTCATCAGCTAGCAGGAAAGCATCATTCTTTTTGCTTAGCAAGAAGTACTAGGTTTAATATTAAAGATTCGTTTTGTTGCAAACCAGAAAGTTTTAATAGCAAGTGATAGATGAGAATCAACATTTGTTTAAGAAAAGAAGTAAAGTTCAAAATATAACATAAGATTGTAATTGAGTAACTGCAAACTTAAGGTCCTGTGTCTGCTAATTTAAATTATAGTTAAAAATCAGTCAATAAGCCAAATCACATATTTGAATTAATCCACTCTAAGTAGGCCATTGTTACTAGATTTATGAAGCTGAGAGGGAAAAAAAAAATCAACATAATAAATATACTGCACTAACAAACCACAAATACACAGACACAAAATTTGTTAATGATATAGGGGGGAGGAAAATAATTGGAAGATGTAATACAATAGACTTCCTTGACAAGGAGGAAGAAAAAACAGAAATAACTCAGCATAAAGAAAAATGCTAAATGAGTGTATAAAATGAACAAAAAAAAAATCTAGAAATCTGTCTCTCGTCATAAGATCTTTTAGTCATCACAGTGATCCAGATCTGGATAGTGATCAATCATCACTGATTTCATTAGAAGAAATGAAAAATGTTTTATTTAGGACTACTTACAATATATATTCCAGGTACATGTAAACATAGAAAGACATTACTATAACGTAAGTACACAGGAAAGCAACAGAACATTTTAAAGCAGAATAATCAGCTATTCACCACAGAAAAAATATTCATGGTTGTCTGCAAGAGAATCCCCCCAAAAAGATTAAAAGAGTTCTTCAGAATCTTTAGATTCAAACCTGGTGTAAAAAGTCTGGTTTTGTCTACAAAACTCTTCAAAAATGTGACAGATAAATTGGACAGAAGGTCAAATTCTTTACTAATCAAGTTGGAGATGCATTTAGAAGACAGCCACCACCAGACAGAGTGACTGCATTCAATGTTTTGTCAAGGGAAGAGGAGGAACACAGTAAGGAAAAGTAGCACAAACGCTGATCCAATGAATAGTGATAATGCAAAATAAAGCTACCAGAAAGGATGGACTGTAAAAATAAAAAGAGTGAAGAGAAATTTTAGTTTGAACAGATATGATTTTCCAAAAATAAATTTCATTGTGCTGCTGAGGAATAGATTCTCTGCAAATACCATGTCACTATTTGAAGAAGGGTATTTTTAAATCTTCGTATGTGTGTGTGGTGCTTTTCTGTGTTAATGGATTTAGTCCCTACAGATCCCCATCCAAGTAGAAATAATTCCTATGGCCACCCCGCAGCAAAAACAGGATCTTTGACTCAGATGTGTTTTAAAAGCTGGAAAATAATTCCAATACAGAATTACTATATTTTGCAAGCCCTCTGGTATATTTGGGATAGCTGGAAGGAACAGTTAGAGCAGCTGTCAAGTGCAAAAAAATTTTACTTTCCCAGGCAGACAGTGTGTGCCACTGAGATGTGTCTCAGAGCTGCACAGTGTCTCTTCTGGCTCTACTGTGTACTTTGTTTTTAAATGAAACACAAGACTCGAGAAAAAAAAAAGATTTCTTCAAAAATATTCAACTTTTTTTTTTTTTTTTTTTCCAGAGCGAGAGAGAGAGAAAGGCATTCTTGGGCTGACCTTTCTCTTAGTCTCAACTTTTTCAATTTTTGGAGCATCTAAGTGCTTCAGAAATGCTTTTTCCTTTAAGGCTTTTACCCCCACAGTACCCTTGAAGGAGAAGTAAGATCTATTACCTCTTTTTGGAGATGATCTGCAGACAGTTATCCTGGTGCACATTCTGCTTTGTAACGAAGTTCAAGCTAAGAATGAATTAGCTCAGATACTGGACTCAGTATGAGCTTATTAGCATGAGATCATGCCTGGGTTAATTCCCTTCCTTCTCTGATTTTACTTACTATATTTAATTGTCCTAACTAGATATAGTTACTTCTCCCTAACTACAGTGTCCACTGATGTGCTTCTGTCACTTCAGTACATAACCTTCCTTATGAATGGCTAACTTTAATATTACAGCTGATTTACAACATTCATATCCATCCAAAGCCGCTCACACAAAGGTTGGAAGAGAGTAAGCAACAGAACCTAGATTTTCAGAGCTGAGAACTCCTACTATTGTGCTCTCTCCTACAAAGCTGTTTTGAGAAACAGTATGGACAGTTATCTTCCCTTCTACTGCCTCTACAGGAGAGCCTCTAACACTGTCCTGAGAAGAATGAGTGCAAGCCAACGGAACTGATTAAAAAAGAAAAAATTAAAAAAATTATTCTTCACATCAGGAGGAGGTGAACTAGGCTTATAGTCCCTTTAGAAGAGGAATCCCTGCAGTCTAAGGCACAGAGAAGTGCCCAGATGACTAGTCAGCATGTTGCAATACACAGCATACATTAATCAGGGTCCTCCATCATTGTTTTTTTAATGCAGTCATAAACAAAACCCACCCACCACCCACTCAGATCACAAGAAGTTAATCTCAGTATTCCTGTTTATTCTGGATGGATTAGATAGATCACAGATTCTTTTATTTCATACACTTGTTGGATACACTGTTGAAAAGAAAAGAATACCCAATCAACTGCCAGTGGTTTCCCAGCAATAAATTTTTGGCAGAAGCAAATGTATATTCTTCAATTTAAGGAAGTAAAAAAAGTGGCTGTAATTTACAAAGCAATCATGGTTACTACATTAAATATGTAATTTATACATACCCTATCAAAGCCCGCATTAAGAAGGGGAAGAACAGAAGTCTCTTCTTGGTCAGCAGATCTACAAAACAAAATCATAGAATCACAGAGTTGTTTAGGTTAGAAAAGACCCTTAAGAGCATTGAGCCCAACTGTAAACATGACACTGCCGAGTTCATCACTCAGCCATGTCCTTAAGCACCACATCTATGTGTCTTTAAACTATCTCCAGGGATGGTGACTCAACCTGGGCAGCCTGTTCCAATGCTTGGTGACCCTTGACACTTTCAGTGAAGAAATTTGTCCTAATATCCAATCTAAACCTCCCCTGGTGTAACTTGAGGCTATTTCCTCTTGTCCTATTGCTTGTTACTTGAGAGAAGAGACCCACACTCATCTTGCTACAATCTCCTTTCAGGTAGTTGTAGAGAGTGATAAGGTCTCCCTCAGCCTCCTTTTCTCCAGGCTAAAAAACCCGAGGTTCTTCAGCTTCTCTTCATAAGACTTGTGCTCCAGAGCCTTCACTAGCTTTGTAGCCCTTCTTTGGACATGCTCCAGCACCTCAATGGCTTTCTTGTAGTGAGGGGCCCAAAACTGAACACAGTATTCAAGATGTGGCCTCACCAGTGCTGAGTACAGGGAGATTATCACTTCCCTACCCCTGCTGGCCACACTATTTCTGATAGAAGCCAGGATGCTATTGGCTTTCTTGGCCATCTACGCACACTGCTGGCTCACATTCGACCGGCTGTTGACCAACACCTACAGGTCATTTTCCGCCAGGCAGCTTTCCAGCCACTCTTCCCCAAGCCTAGTGTTTCTTGGAGTTGTTGTGACCCAAGTGCAGGACCCGGCACTCAGCCTTGTTGAACCTCATAAAATTGGCCTCGGCACATCAATCCAGCCTGTCCACATGCCTCTGTAGAGCCTTCCTACCCTCAAGCAGATCAATACTCCTGTCCAACTTGGTGTTGTCTGCAAACTTAGTGACGGAGCACTTGATCCCCTCGTCCAGATCATTGGTAAAGACATTAAACAGAACTGGTATGTTGCATGGTCACACAATATTTAAGAATTAGATGGTATCGATTTCACATAGATATCTAAACATAACGAATGCAGTGAGAACACTCTTGCATAAAATACATACATACAATCATACTATTACAGAAGTTGATGTTATAGTCTTTTTTAATAGGTATTTGCAGCTATTACTAAACCCCAATACTTATTTCTACAGCAAACCTGGCAGATATACTCTACAGAAGTCCTGTGTCTTTTCAGAGACACACAACTGCACTACAAAAAGAAAGCATCAAGAGGATAAAAGACACCCTGTGATATTCTGTAGAAAGAATCTAAAAAAATGTTATTAAGTAAAAGGTGAAGCAAGTTGTAAAGTCTTGCTCAGCAGCAAACTTAGTCTATTTTCTAATCTTGGCAGGAATAGTTCTTCTGCTATCATTCTATTTCCTAATATTTCAATTGAGCTAGGAAATTAATAAAATTGGAATGGATTCAGTCATGTGCAGGAGTTTTAATGAAGGCAGGAAAGGCCTCTTTTTTGAAAGTATTTGGTAAAAATATATTTAAGTCAATAAGAATTCTGCCTGGATACATGGGGTATGAATTACAAAATAAGGATTTCAGGGCAACATTCTGGTGAGTTTAGTACCAACAAGATGGAAGTTTAGTCCACTATCCAGTTCCCTAATAACCACAGTGTGTTATTTGATCTAGTTATTTCCTTTAGAAAGTAATACACAGCTTTGTATTTTTTTCTTTTAGAAAGCAACACATAGCTTTCTAATTTTTCTTAGTATACAAGCCATTACATTATGATACGCTGAAGATGATACGGATAGTACTAGTCTGTATGAATGGAAAGTTATCAAATACTTAAATAGGCCACATAAAACATCACTAACCCATTTTAGGTAAAATAATATTAAACTCGGTCTATAAGGCTATCTAGTAAGATACTTTCTGTTATTAGATAAATATTTTGTCTAACATTCTTATAAAGTAAAACAAAAATCTTTCACAAAACAGTAATACTTACAAGCGTGGAACCACAGCAAGTATTACAGTGTGCTCTGATGGTTTTGTGGCACGAATAGACCTGAGGAAACAAAGATTTCTCAGTGTTCCTCTGAGTATCTTCACAGACAATATAAATGAAAACCCGGACTGAAAGACACCATCGAGGCAAGAAAATAGTATATCACACTACCAAAACCTTCGTATCCTCACTTAAGAGGATACCAGATTCCTCATATGTTGCTCAATGCAGTGAAGAGGCAAGAGGTCCAAAAACATAGGGCATGAACAACAGCTCTTCAAATCCACTCTTATAACCTAGCACGCATTTGACTTGCACTTAGCTTATTTGAGGCAAACTGCCCTGAATGCACGGGTTGAGAAAGGTCAGTCTGTACCATGTATTTTCAATACCCATTACCGGATTTAAACAAGAATCTTCACTGCCTTGTCCCATATTTACCGTTGTCTTTCTAGATATTGTAAAATTTTCTTCAGAGGGTGGGAAAGGCTTTTGAGACATGCAAGTAAGAAAAGAGGGTATAGCAAATGTATACGATAGACTATCATTTATGAAATGCTGAATTAACAAAATTTTACCATTTCACATGTTATTGAGAAACCAAAAAAAATATTATGAACTATCAGAAGACACTCTATTTACCTTTTACTGGCTAAAGACAACTTTTTTCAATCATGTCGTGCTGTTCTGAATAAACAAACTTTATATTTATTTGTTGGACCTTTAGAAGAACTTCCCTCACCACAAGTATTTGAGCTTTAAAATGTTCCTTGTCATAAACATGGCAAATTTCAGCTCACGATGGACTGAGAAGCACAGTGCGGTGTATGGGACAAAACATATGCTTCAGCTGAATCAGTGTATTTTAGCAAAGAATCACAATACTGAGCACTTGCAACCTTAGAGCTACTAAGACAGAGCTGTGTAGACGAAAAGAGTGATGTGAACTTTTGGGAAGAGCTGGCAGTGCTTGACGAACGCACACATTCCTTTGAAGCCCTTCAGCTTCAGACTTCGCTGCAGCAGAAACAGACAGAGACAGCAGGGAATTATTTCAGCTCTGGCTTATGCTCTGATAGAAGCCCACGACCTGAAGAGACAATTCTACAATTTAGCTTTGCCAAAAGTGTATTCTTCATATGGTTCTCCTCTTACAGATGTACGCAAACCTCCTGGCCTCAATCCCAAACTTCCATTTTACTATAGTTTTGAGGGTTCTTTTTTTTTTTAAACCTATTTTTTTCCTATTTTTTTTTAAATTAGGTTTGGTTTTCTGCAATATATTCTGAAGTTCAAGAGAAGCATAAGGTTCTTTAGGTTACCTGCAGATATCTTCTGCATCAAAATATCTGGAGTTCCTGTGGTCTATAACAATTATTTCCTGGTGCTTATCAAGAAAACATTCAAGCGCTGACTCTGGAGTCCGTGCAATATTGCACCTGTATCCAGCTCTGTCACAAGCCCACCAGAAACCATCACTTTGGTTGTCTTCTTTTGCAAAGATCAGCAAAACCTGCAAAGCATGCAAAACAGTGGCACCACGTTAAACACGCAAAATAGTTTTCTCCATGGTGCAAATCTTGATGAACGCGTCTGCTGTACGAAAGATTGAGTCTGCTTTGAAAGTGGCAAGATTGAACTGCAGACTGTAAAACAGTGGATGCAGTAGCACAACTTTCTTAATAGAGTGATAATCGATAGATAATCAATAGTTAACTGTATAGGACTGATATTTAGGACAAAAGCAGCTGTCAGATGATGAGTCTCTTCTAACTCATGTTCAAATTCAATCAGTAGCCACCCAGAATAGGTGGGTAGGTGTTCAAACATCATCATCACTTTCATCAGGCCGCACCAGCTAAACATACTTTTAATTGTAATGAACTGCTTGAAATGCAACTGCCTTAATTATTGCTCTTCAGGGACAAACAATTCACATAACACAGTTTTATTCATTATTTCTCCTTTGATACACAAGAAACTGTAGTTTACTCACATTCTTTCAAAACTGAAAAGAACAACAGACAAGCAAGTATGGACAAGGTAGGTCAAAAAACCTGATTCAAACATTGCAATTTTGACTCAAAAAAATGTCTCTATTTACCTAAATACAGGAGGTAGTTTCGACAACTTCAACCGAACACTTAAGGAATGGCTCACACAAGATCAGGTATGACGGACGTGTGCTGAGGTGCTGTTCTAAAAATCAAATTGATGCTGTAGGAATCTGTTTTCTAACTGACCAACATAATATAGGCTGAAAACAGCTGTATTTGTGTGCTTCTTGTGTGAAAGAAGAGTACATTTAGAAGAGAACAAATTTTTCATCCTTGCCCTATAATAAGTATATTATCAGCATACAAATTACACAGCTAGGAACACACAAGTCATGTAGACAAGCCCCTTCACAATTTGCAGATATTTACCATGCCAACTGATCTCTAACCATGCCACCCTGTGTGACAGATGAAGAAAAAGCTTAATTTAGTGTAAATATGCTGTGAAATATAAAGGCCTCAAAAAGTCGAAAGTTTATCCACAGCTATCTGAATTGTATAGAAAGGCAGCAGCCAGAGAATAATCTATGTATAAAGCCGTGTTCATTTCACAAATAAAAGTCAGTCTCTGACTTCACTGAAACAACCTGTCTGAGCAAAATACACAAAATATTGCCCCAAATGCTCAAAAGAAAGGCCATCGGTACTGCTCTATGCAGCTGTGGTGTCTCCACGTGAAATTCAGCGCCATCAGTCTAGAAGCTAGAAAACCTGACCATAATTTTTCTCTTCTCTTGAGCTGCTTATCTTGAGCTCCTCTTACCTAAATCAATTGATGTTACTATGGCAGGACAACCAGTCAAGGTTTCATTAAACAGTGGAAGAAAATTACATGCTCAGAATTTCCATAAATATTAGGAAATAAGAGATTTCAATTTATTAGAAAAAGTATTTTTAATTGCAGTTAACAACAAGCAGATTTGGGTTTCTGACACTTGACATCTAAGGTAACTGTTGTCACTTAATTTAATCCCTGTTTTTCTAGCCATTGAAGTGTTGACAAGCAGTGACATGATTGAGCTGCAGACTTTGTCTGCGGATATTAGGGTAAAGTCCCTACTCTGATACAGTCTTCTGTTTGGTTCTAACTGCTCTTAGTTTTATTTTGTTCCTCATTTGATCAGCTACAATATGGTTCAGAAAACAGGTTTTGGGGGGCCACATTTTTTTATATCTCTTGACACTTCCAGTTTGGAAATAAAGGATTGCAAAATACTGTCCTTTACCACCTATAAAATAATGGACCTTAATTAAAGCACCTGATCTCCCACTGATAGCTCATTATCAGTGTGTGAATCCTTCTGAGAATATTAACTTTAAAGTGTTTTTTAAAGTATTACTACCGTGCTTTCTCATTAACTTTTGTATGAAACTTACTATAAAACATCAAAACATAATCTAACTAGAAGTATTTTGCAAGACATATCTCTCAAATTTGAGATAAAATTTAACAATACATATAAACAATACTGTCAAGGAAAAGCTAAAATTCAATCTGTGATGCTTGGCAAAAAAAAACATGTAGCTATATTTTGGTGGATAATTTGCCAGAGTTACTGTAAAAAGATCATTTTACTCAGTACTGCCCTGGTTTAGGAACGCCATAGACGTCTACTGAGGAGACCTTTTACATTTTTTGGTCATGTATTGGAATTTTTACCATCTTTCTAAGTGTTTGCTTTGCACAGATATTGCATGTCTTCTTCCCAGTTCATCATACAAATACAGAAAATGGACAGAGATTTGCTTTAAAGAGCTCAAAACAAGAAACATCAGCTGAGTCCAGACACGAGGCACCACAATGAAACAGAGAAAATTACAAACAGCAATTTAAGAAGTAAAAATAAAATTATGTAATTAATTTTATGTTATTGTACCCCAGCAAGAGAATTTTAAGGTGGAAAACACATAGTGGTTCTGAATTGAGTAGGGGGGCATCTCTTGCTACACCAAAAATTGGCATTGAGGGAACAGTAAAACGTTGTGCATCATCATAGTTCATCTGCAGCAGGGAAGATCACCATTATCAGAACAGAAGTGGAGTTTGACATCAATGCTGTGAAAGAGATAATGGCCAATGAATATCCTAAGAGGTGAGGAAAGGATTTAAACGGGGGACACATCCAAACCTTTATCAGCCCGGTTAAACACTTCTTCAAAAGGGTAAGATAGCTTTTCTGTGCGCACTAAACATTCATGAAACCCACATTTCTCCTGTGTCCCCTGAAGAAAGTGCATTTGCCTGTGCTTTTATCATGGTCATTTCTAAGGTCTCAAAACAAAACCATGCCTATTTGCAAGCCTTGGTACAAAATTGGGACAGACGTGTAAGCTTCGTGTGGGAGGGCATTTAGACGGTCCAAGCTGGTAGGTTTGCTTTGGACTCATCCTTTTGCCCCTTAAGGCCAGCAGTACCTGGGTCACAGTCTAGTACAAACCAAACCAGACTTGTCTTCCTACACAGACAGTCATAAAGTCCCGTGAGGAATCTATTAAATAGTTTATGGCAGGTCATAGTACAAGTAAGGTCACCTCTCAGACAAAAAATACCAGCCGTTT